GCGGCAACAATACTGAAATGCGTACCGTCACTTGTGTCACAAAGCGCATTTGCGTACCGACGTACTTGTGAAGCTTTTCCAGAAGGCGGTTAGATCACCGGACAGAGTCGGTCTCCGTGTGCACAGACGGGGCTGCTGTTAACGTCGGTCTGTACAACGGAATTGTGCCAAAACTACGCCAACCGGCTGAACCTCGCTAAAACAGCTGATCACAACGTTCACCTGTGGTCACGAAGTACTCCACTAGCCCCCCCCGTTGACGTTCGCGATACACAGGGCTTCATCACATAACTTTGAGTGGAGCCAGAAGTTGGAGTACCAAACACTCACTCCAGGTACTCATCTGAGTGCCTCACTGAGAAAGTTATGTGCACCCCTGACTATATGGTCTCAATTGCATTGCTCAGTGGATGTTCGGTATTAGCAGATGAATCTCACAGATGACCTTCACACGTAGGAAAAACAATGTTCTCCCATTTGCCCGCTCATCAACCTCACTGTTCCCCACACCTGTATGTAATTATGTTGAACAGCATTTGCAGCCAACGTTTAGACCTGGGAAAAGGTTTAAGCGTTCACTGCACTTACACTCTACCTTGAAATTAGCTGCTTTTTGTTGCTGATAAGCTAGGACCTGCCATGGTAAAATTAGAGGAATAACATATTGAAATGACAGATGAGAGAGATACAGAGAACAAGAAGGATTTTAACCGGATGTGTATTTAAAACAAAAATGTAGTTTTTAAACTTGTCATCCAGCCTCTCTTTGCAACTATCAAGACCTTTGAGGCTCAACATTCTGCCATTTCAATTTGTCTCCGTTGATTCTGCAATATTATTGAATCGAATTGCAGATTGCTGCATCACCTTATTTTTTAAACAAATTAATCAGTTGACTGCCCATGTGCAGACTTTTCAATTGTACTTATTCAGCAAGGCCAGTGCTACAAAAGCACTACACATGCTGTCTATCATTGTCCATAACAACTGAAATCCAATGATGCAGAATCTTCAGATGTATTTCTCTCCCTTTTTAGGTTGCGTACAGCATCAGTGGTCCCTTTTTGTACTTGTAATGTTTCAAGCAGAGCCCCATACAGGCTTAGCGTATGGTGATGGGAGGATTTTGCGCACGATGATCAGCTTTCTTATCTTTGTATCCTCTTATTTACAATTTAAATTCAGTAACTTTGGAAGATCCCAACTTTATTTAACTTATAGTGATTGCTGAAGCCTCGTATTCCTTAACTTTTCGAACATCAAAGCCTCTTTGGTAGCTTCAAAACAACTCTACCCAAGGGCAACTCATTTAATTTATGTACAGACGCAAGGACGAGATACCTCATATTTCTCCATACTAGTGATGAGTACAGTACAGTTCGCCAAGGACCCTTTAGAATCTGATATCATGACACCTCAGAAGATGAATGGACTATGAATATTGAAGCATATTCACCTCAAATCTGAGTTGTTTATCATTTGTTTAAATGCAGTTCATTTTGAAGTTTCAAGCCAATCTCAAGGTTATTTATTCTGATAAATAAACTGGGTTATAGTTGGGTTTTGCAATTTCCTATAATGTAGATCCTTTTAAGAAACTAAATAGATGAATGGCGGTTTACCACTAATCTTCACAGTTGGTTGTTGGTTGTAGATAAATGCATTTGAAGTTTACTTACTGAGAGCAAACTTTTATTTACCAGAATGTTCCAGCTTTTGTAACTATCCTATTTGAGTGTTCAAAAGTTTATACAGGCTCTCCCACGCCCCCATCATCCCCCAGAATAAGGAATAAATGTGATTTGAGCAGCCAAATAGCGCGTGGGTTATAGATGAATAGTTGTTTCTTTTATTGTTATGCCAATGTATGCTGGCTTAAATTCAAGGTTTGTTGAGTCGGAGGAGAAAGTGAGAAGTAAGCAAAAAAGTTTTGCGAGGAGCACATTTGTCTTCTGACGGATCAAATCTATTAGCTTGTCAGAGTGCAGAGGAGTGTGGCCCATTATGACACGGCTCCGGCTGCTCCAACAAGCCGCTGCCTGGTTTCTCCATCAAGGAAGCTGCCTCCTGTTTGTGATTTGTGCCGTGGGTAATGGGATGCAGATATCGCTGCTGTCCGTCACTGCTTTTATTTATTTTTTGGTAGTGAATGAAAAGCAAGAAAGGACTGAAATCAGTCAAAGCAAACTTCAGCAGGATTTGGGGTAACTGCTGCATTGTAGAAACATCAAAATACTCTTTAAACGTCAATGGGATTTTTGTATTTGATTTTGGAGTAATGCTGGAAACACGTTTATGATACTTACACATTCTTTTCTGATTGGCTTAGAGTGATTTTCTGGCCGTTTCTCAATCGCGAGGTAACTGGCTTCCAAGCCAATATTTCAATGATACTACGTCATCGAGTGCTGCTGAAGGACTGTTCCAATCTCCAGCATACTTGGAATTCCACCGAGGCCGTGTCCTTGGTTTGGGGGTAATTTCGAGGCTGCACATGGGTACACTTTGCGTCCTTAAAATCCCCACAATGCTTTGCTTACGGACCAATTTCCCCAAATCTGTGGAGGAAAATGTAAGGCGGGACCTCTCATATGACACACACCTGCACACTTGCTTGCCTGTTCCACTCTTCGTTTTCCGAATACCAGGAAGGATTCTTGCCTAGCTTCTGAAGGAAGTGACTCGGAAGACATGTGCTACCAAGCAAGCATCCTCGCGATTGAGAAACGGCCTCTTTCTGCGTCTTCCCCTGTGACCTTTTGATTTTACAGTGTTTTTGTAGGATTTGTATTCTCCAGGGCCTCGGTAAAGTGCTTTGACTGTTGAAAGCTCTTTTCAATGACCGCTTCATAGTAGGAAGCTTCCTTTGAAGCGTTCTTCAAACATGGCAACATATTCCTCATGAGGCATTGTCCTCATCACCACTTTTTCCCTTTTATTCCATTAGCGGTTTATATTTGGGATGGATGCTGAGGGCATGTGGCCCACAGGTGTTACTACAGAGGGTTTCTATATCTATAGGTTCTATAAGGGATCTGTGAAGAGGGATGGGTCCTACAGTGGGATATTAGAGCGCCAATTCAAGGGGGTTGAAGCCAACTTATTCTTCTTCTAAATAGTATTCAAAAGCAAAGAGTAAAAACTAATAAAAAGAAAATATTAATACTGCAATAAATGAATCCTGATCAGATGTATACAGCACCATTCACTGAAATAATGGCGTTCTTTTTATGGCCACATGACTTGCAACCCTCTCAACCCCTCTACCTGTAGCTGTTAAAGCATGTTGACATGATTTAACCTTTGATACCATAAAGAAGCAGGCTTGTATACTAGGGCTGCTTGATTATGGCAAAAATCATAATCTCGATTATTTGGGTCAATAATTGTAATTGCGATTATTAAATTCGATTATTCATTGACTTTGAAAACATCCATATATTGGAGAAAAAAAATGTGAACAGTATCTTTTTAACAATTGATTACCCTGCACTTTAAGTATAATTCAACTGAAAAACCAAAAAAAATAAAAATAATATTTTAATAATAATTAAAAAATTATCGTTTTATTTCGATTACGTTGTTTTCGTAATCGTTGCAAGTCATAATCGTAATCGTGATTAAAATATGATTAATTGAGCAGCCCTATTGTATACATTAATAATCAAATGTCACATACGCATACAAACATCTTTCCGTCTTTCAGCAATCTTCATCCAGTTTACAATAAAGAAGTGTACTGTTGCAATGCGCACAAATACACCATTTATTTTAAACAAAACATGTACAGTTACTACAGCTGCTGACTATAACGTAACTTGCTTTAGAACAGGGGTCTCCAACACGTCGATCGCGAGCTACCGGTACCTCACGGGCAGCTTTTCAGTTTGCTTCTTGATTTTTCAGCCGCGGCTGGACAATAAAGTTTTTTTTATTTTAGAATTGTTTCTGTCACACGAATATAAAATTGGTCGGTGACGCAGAGATCAAGGAACAGACGTGACAGCGGCACAGCGACACCACACACGGAGCAGTCTGCTTTCTCCACCAACACCAGTCCAGAACCAACAGCAGAATGACCCGCTCTGAATCAGTCCGTGT